CCAGCCCCTGCCTCCATCTAAGAGTCACTGCCTCAGCTTGCTTATCTTTTAAGAGGAGGAGAATAAAGATGCAAGACGGGCCAAGTTCTCCAGTTCTCAAGGATTTGAATAGCAAAACTTTATAAAAATCCTTGATAGGAAGGAGCCAACTTAAAACTACAACAGCTTCAGCAACAACAGATATAATATAGGATTCAAACCTAAAGTAGAAAGTAAATATCCATTATTAGTCCATATATGCGCATATATGAGTTTAATATGTTGGGGAGACACAAAGCTCTCCAGCAGAATTCTGAGGGGGAAAAAATCAGATCTCCCTCTGCAGAAAATTGAAACTAGGCCCATACCTCACCCCATGTACCAAAAATGAACTCAAGATGCATCAAAGACCCAAATGTAAACCCCAGATTACGCAAAGATCACCAGTGTGAAAGCAGTGTGTCAAACTTACAGGGCAGAGACACACTACCACATATGACAACGGAAGCATGCACAGTAAAGGACAAAGTAGATGACTGGGGCCTGCTCAAAAGAATTGTGAATACCTGCTTTGTAGCAGGCTATGGATGGCAGTGGAAGCTCAGAGTCCATTTGCAGGGTCCACACAAATTAAGCCTCCTGTGTGCATACCCTCTGACCATACTACAGGGAGATTAATAGCCTTGTGATCAGAAAGACGACGATGGCAGACATATGTTAAAATGTAACACCTTATCAGTTGAGCTCCCTTTGACCCACTGTAAAGTTGCTTCAATTTTTTTTGTTGTTTTAAGTGTGAAAGGGAAATACATGTAGATGTAGGCTCTGGTGAACCTCTCGGGCCATACACCCGGCATGTGAATAGCTTTGCTCTCAAGCACATGGCACCGGAAAGTAGATTATGACGGATGTCCTTAGGTTAAAATTTAACGCCTTACCATTTGTTCTCCCTTTTGATCCATGTTGAATGTGTTATAGTTTTAAATATTTTCTGTTTTCTTTTTGGTGGAGGTTTTTATCTGTTTCCTTTTGTACTGTTCTAATGTTTTCCTGTACATGAAATCCAGGATAAGTAAATCTAGAGGGACAGTAACTGCATTAATGGTTCCTCGGAAGTCTGGCAGGGGAGGTTGAGGGAAACGAGGAGCTACCAAAAACGAGAACAAGAACAAAGAAAATGTTCTAAAATTGACGGTAGTGATGATCATTCAACTCTTCTTGATGTGATTAAACTACTGAATTGTACAATATGTGAATTACATGCCAACAAAGCTGCTTTTTTTAAAAGATACAGTGTCAAGGTTAAAAAAAATAATTGCCACTTATGTATATGAAAATATTTCATCAATAGAATAAAAAGAGGATCCACAGAATGAGAAAACAGAATTTGGAAACAATTCAATGGACATGGAACTAATCTCTAAAATCTATAGAAAAGTGCAAGACCTCAATGAGAAAAATAACACAACTTTAAATTTTCAGTAGGCAAAGGGCAAGAGCAGACAGCTCACAAAGATGACATCCACATGGCTAACAAGCATGAAAAAATGTTCACGAACATTAGCCATCTGGGAGATACAAATCAAAGCAATAATATTATAAGGATTACCTGACACCAACAAGGACAGCCCAATGGGAAAAAAACACACGCTGGAGAGGGTGCGCTGTGCCTGGAACTCTCTCGTGCACTGCTGGTGGGGTGGGTGTGTAGTACAAGCAACTGGGAATAGAAATTCCTGGCTTGAAAAAGCACACCCACCCGTGCGATCATGAGGCGTCGATGAGCTCAGGTAGCAGGCATCAAAAAACAAAAAATCATATCATTGTGAATAAGTGGGAGTGCGGAGTGGGGACCCAAAGCCTATCTGTAGGCAACTGGACATCCCCTTACAGAAGGGTCGCGGGAAGGAGATCAGCCAGTCAGGGTGCAGTGCAGCAACAATGAAACATACAACTTACCACTAGTTCTTTAATGTCCCTCCCTCCCCCCAACTATCATGATCCCAATTCTACCTTACAAATCTGGCTAGACCAGAGGATGTACACTGGTACAGATAGGAAATGGAAACACAGGGAATCCAGGACAGATGACCTCCTCAGGACCAGTGGTGAGAGTGGAGATACTGGGAGAGTGGAGGGAGGGTAGGGTGGAAAGGGGGAACTGATTACAAGGATCTACATATAACCTCCTCCCTGGGGGCTGGACAACAGAAAAGTGGGTGAAGGGAGACATTGGCAGTGTAATGACAAAATAATAATAATTTATAAATTATCAAAGGTTCGTGGGGGGGGGGGAGATACCAAGGGCTCATGCAGAAAGAAAATGTTTTGAGAATGATGATGGCAATAAATGTACAAATGTGCTTGACACATGGATGGATGTATGGATTGTGATAAGAGTTGTACAAGCCCCCAGTAAAATGATTTAAAAACAAGAAAGAAACTCCACGCCTCTGCTGGGTGTAGACCCTAAATAAATAAGAGACATTGGACAAACAAACATATACATTCGCCATGCTCATCTCAATAGTTGCAACAGCAAGAAGCTGGAAATAGGCCAAATAGATAAAGAGACTTTGGCACATACACACAATGGAATACTTTGTTGGATCTAGCAGTGCTACCTGTCTCCAGCCATTTTGTTTGTTTACAAAGTTCCCTCAGCACCCCCACATCACCCCCCATGTCCAGCCACATCAGTCTTGCTGCTTCAAGTACCCGTTCGCAGCTGGGAAGCTTCCAATCAGAAAGATGCGCGGTACCTATCCTGTCTAAAAGATTATTAACTGCCCCAAAGACTTCATATATGCGGGACTTTTCTTTGTCTTCGCTCATCTGCAACCCGCCTGCCTGCAGCTTCCCTCTTTTGCAGGGTGGTCCCTTAGTCCGTCTTCCACGGAGGTGTTGGTGTCATTAACCTTATCCTTGCCTAACTCCACTGTGGTTTGGTGGCTGGTCCACTTTAACTTTTCTCTTTTCTGCTGCGGCGGTGGTGGTGTAATACCTCTTTAAGCCTGCTCTTTCTCTCCTTCACGCAGCTAGTTCTTTGGCTTAAGATCTGGCGGGCTCTGACCTCTCCCCACGCAACTACCCTATTCCTTTCACCTCCTTTCCTTTGATCATTTAAGTCTCCTTACCCCAAAATAAAGCCTATTCATTAATACCCTTGCTCTGTCTCTCCTCTCTGGAAAACCTTACACTATGCATCATTAAAACACAATGATGAAACCTTGAATATTGTCCTTTATGAGATCACTACTTTAAGGGTAAAAGCCAAGAGGAAGTCTGGAATACCAAGTTACAGGTGGACAGCTATTGTCTTGGGTGAAAAGGTGGATGGAGGAGGAAAAGAAAAGAAATCCTAGGTGGGGCGGGAGGAGGGGGGGATCCAAAAAGGGAGGGTGTGATGAGTGTTTTGAATTGTTGAGTTGATGATCTAAAACGTAAACCCTTCGCTCAGTTCACAATTAAAAAGAAAAATGTGCGTGGATTCTCTGCCCTCAAGGAGGGATACCATTCCCAGCTCTTCAAGTACGGTATAAACTAAGCATGTGAACTTTCTTCTAAGAGTACAGTATGGGAAGAGGTAAACACTACTTCCGCCAGATCAAGGCTAACAATGAAGAGGAGGGGCATGTTCAAGGGTCCCATTGAAAGGAGGATGTGAGAAGGATACCTTCTCTATGGCCTTCTTTCTGGGAACCCCAAACCCCTATCTTCCCATGTGAAAAAACATCAGAAAATTCCCAGCAAGTAGAGCACTGGACAATATACTTGACCACCACCACCACCAACAAAACACTAAACCTAAACTGTGGCTGGTGAGTAGATTCTGACTCTTGGCAGTCCCTTAGTATCAGGGTAAACTGCACCACAGGGTTTTCTTGGCTGTAATCTTTACAGAAATTTGCGAGGCTTTACGTCAATGCGCTGAAAAGGATCTTGGGAAGAGTGGGATGAAAACGCAGCTGACTAGTCTGACAGAGATAGGTAGAACCCCCATAACTCAGGCCTTGATTGTCCTTCAGCTCTGGAAATGTACCCACCCCCTACCCTACACCCCACTCCTTAGAACAATCAACCATTTAAAATCAAAAGGGCAGCAGAAGCCAAGGACAAAGTTCAGAGAGTTAGAAATGAAGGATGGCAATTGGAACACAGGGAAGAAGTGGATCACCCCAAGGGCTGATTGAACAAAATAGGTTTAGAATTGCCAAATGTACAATGGATGATCTGCTTTGTAAACCTTCACCCAATTCACGATACAATTTTTTTAAAAAATTAAGGTTTCTTATAATTTTTTATCAAGGGTTGTAACAACAAGCTCTAACATGGAAATGGTTGTGGGGATAAAGCGGGACATAGTTGCACCTAGGGTTGTTCTGAGTCAGAACCAACTGAATAGCAGGTGCCTCCCAACAAAATCTAACACCGTTCTAATAAGCTGATTTTGGGGGGATAAAATGTTGCCCTTAAATTGGGGGGTGGAGGGGTAATAAAAAAGTCTATGCCTGGTGCCTGACTGGGACATCTGCCACGTGGATTAAAGAACATCACACTCTGGAAACACACACCTGGAATGGAGTGGGAATTTGTCAGTGTTTACCTCCATCTGGAATTTGACACCCTCTTCCCCAGGCCACATGAGGAGGAAGTCGGCATGGAGAGCTCACGGGCTAGCAAAGGGCGAAGGCACCTCAACAAGCAAAAGTGGTCAGGTAGCCAGACCGGTTTTAGTGGGGGGCAGGGAAAGAAGCCATGACCTTGGCGTCAGAGCCGACAGGCCTGCAGTCTAGCAGGTTCCCGGCAACAAGACCATCACCGGGCCCGCTGTCTTCCGGCGGCAGACAGTACGGACCAGAGTCTGACCGAGGGGGACTCGGAAAAGCCCACGAGCCCGCGGGGGATGGGGGTTCGGGCGCACCAGTAGCAGGGACGCTGCGGGCACGGCTGGGAGAGCGCACACGGCGGAGCCCACCCCTGTGAACCCAGTCTCCTCGGGGCGCTTTCCGGCTACTCACCGGCTACGGGCCTGCCCGCGGACGGCTTCCCTCCAGCGGCCGTGCGACCCGGAACGCCCGGCTCGCCGCGAAGCCGGCGCCACTGCGAGCTCCCGCACCGCCGCGCGCGCGCTGCGCGGAGGTTGCGCCCCAGCCAGCGCCGGGATTGGCCCGTGCTGAGCCGCATCGTCCAATCAGAATCGAAGGCTTGGAGACGTCACGATCTCCGGGCGAATCGGGAGACTGCGAGGGGCGCGGGCAGCTGCAGCCTTGGAAAAAGGAAACTGAAACCGCCCGCCGAGCCCTGCAGGTGTTGTGGTACCTGGTAGCGGCTGGAAGGCAGCCGAGCTCTGAGACCCAGTGGGCCCAATGAGTCACGCGAGGAGTACTCTGGGGTGCAAACCAAAAACCCTCCACCCGAGGCCCGCGCCTTCTTCTGGGTGCATGGGGATGGGGGTGGAGGTGCGTTTTCGTGCGAAGTGGTGCGGGACCTGACGCTTGGTCCCCAACGCGCCATCGGAGCTGTTGACAACTTGAACCATCATCGTGGATCGCCTGAGCGTTCGCTGCTGGCCTTGCAAGTTCGCCGGTTAAAAGCCCACCAGCTGCTCGGCAGAAGATGAGGCTGTCGCCTCCCATAAAGATACAGGGCCCGGGAAGCCCTGAGTGAGGTCGCGGAGTCAGTCAGAGAAGTGGAAATCCACTCCGTAGCCGTGTGTGTGTGTGTGTGTGTGTGTGTGTGTGTGTGTGTGTGTGTGTTGAGGCTGTCTCCGCGCTGAATTGGGCTTCCCTGGGGAACCAGTTCACCGCCCCGGAAGCAGACGACGCCCCTAAATGCGAGTCTCCTCCTCTGCCTGTCGCTGCTGCTCGGGCCTGGCCGAGGGGCCACTTGGTACTGCCAGGAAACCCTGACTCCTCACGAGGGCGAAATGCACCTGGGTGGGAAGGCGCTCTCTAGTGTCCTGCCCTTAGGGGATGGGGCTGGGGCATAGATGGCATTTTCTGGTTCCTAATCTGTCCTATCAGCTCAACCCACCTCCCCTGTAACCTGGTTCGTGCAGGTGTGTATGGGGGAGTTGTCTATGACTGGAGTGAGCCCAGACCCTAAGTCCTATTACCATACGGACTTTGACCCTTCTTCTTTGGATGTTAGCAACATTTGGAGGAGGTACTCCGGTTTTAATGAATTAATGGGGAAGTCACAAAGCATTGCAATAAAACCCTAGAAACCTTTATTTTTAAAAACACCAAAATGTGGAACCTAAGCCTATACACTTCTGAAAGGCATGTTTCATTTCTAACCCTTCTCTGGTGCATTCTGTGCTTTTAAAATTTACACCATCAGAATGGTGGTTTTGGCAGTCTCAAGGACTTAAGTCATATTCCTTTTGTCTATTCTTTGAGTTTGGAGAACAAAAATCAGTCTGAAGGGGCAAGATCAGAGCTGTAAAGTGGATGGAATAATGTTTCCCAATCAAATTCCCATAGGACAGCCCTCGCTAGCTTCCAAGAGTGAGCAGACAGTCTGTCCTGATGGGGAAAGAACTTGCTAGCACAACTGTTCTGACCTTTTTCTTACAACTGTAGTTTTCCATTTTATTAAAACATCTTTCCAATAAGCCCTCATGCTCGTCTTGTGTGCTTGAGGAAATCGACCAACATTTCTCTTTTGGGGTCACTCCAAACAGGTTTCATAACCTCTGAGCTGACCTGCCTAGCATATCTTCTCAGAAGACACCGCTTTGATTGGATCTTTTTTTTTTTTTAAAGACTCCCTCAAGAGACTAAAAGACAAATGTCTACAGTCATCCTCTGATCACAGAGAGTACAAAACTCTGTGTAGGAACTGGAATCCACCAGTAGCAAGATTTTTTGACTTATCCTAGTATAAGGGATGTGAGCCACACCAGGAAGGAGGCTTCCCTTTAAGCTGATTGGCTGTTCACATCAGATCACCAAGTATATAATGATGATCTCCAGATGAGGGAGATCATCGGCAGGAGGCCGTAATGGTGTCCAGAGGATCCACAGCCACGTGGCGATAACAGAAAGCATTCAAAAGGAAAAGGAAATTCATTGCAAAATCTTGATTGGCAAAAGAGAAATTCATCACTGTTGTACTCGAGCTTAAATTAATTATGAGCACTAGGTTTGTGCAAGGGTTTACAGTGAGAACCCCAAATCCATTTTCAAATCTCCACAGAGATTCAGCAGCCACTGAATTCTTTCTGACCATGAACTCACCACATGAATATCTTTGCACTCAGACAGAGTGAGTTAGGAAGTAGAAAGTACTCCCCTAGCTTGCCAGAGCAGGGATAGCCTAGTCCTTAGGGACTTGTCTGAATGTGTCCTTGATGGAATTTGGGATAGTATGTTAATAGTGTGTTAAAAGTTGGGGTGCATATGTACAAATATGCTTGATACAATTGATGTGTGGATTGTTATAAGAGCCCCTAAGAAAAAAGAAAAAAAAAGAGCCCCTAATAAATTGATCTTTATAAAGGTTTTTTTAAAAAAAATAAATAGCTTTGGGGAAAAAAAAGTTGGGGTGCGACCCACAAGGTCAGCAGTTTGAACCCACCAGCTGCTCGGAGGGAGAAAGAAGAGGCTGTCTGCTGTATTCAAGATTAAATTCTGATAGGTTTTCAGGGTAGGAGCCCTGCTGGCATAGTGGTTGCACACTGGACTGCGATCCACAGTCAGTGGTACGAAACCACTAGTCACTCCTGTAGAGAAAGATGGGACTTCCTCCTCCTGTAAAGAGAAACATTCTCTGAAACACAGAGGCAGCTCTAACATGCCCTGAAGGGCATGAGCTGGCCAGCCAGTCAGGTTTGCAGAAGGCAACAATTTGCAGTGGAAGCCTTAAGTCCATTTTGAGTTGCCACATAGATTCAGCCTCCATTAAATTATTTTCACCATTAACCAGTAATATGAATAGATTTGCTCTGAGGCAGAATGTTAACATTAAGAGAGTGGATTACTACCACTACCCTAGCCAGTCAGGAGGGGGCAGGGCACAACCTAGCCCTTAGAGACATGCCTGTTTGCCCTTGATGGAAGTTAGGGTACTAGGGTCCACATGATCATGAGTCACATATCCTGAATACCTTGGTTGGAGGGTCCTGAACCAATAATTTTGTAAGTTTTTCTATCTGAAATAGTGTATGTGTCCCAATTGTGGTCCATTTTTTTCCCTGGTCTTTAGACACACCTACAACTGTGATATGTTGATTTGCCGTGGATCACGTTTCCCTATGTCCAATTTAAGTGGCTGAATTTCTGTAAATCTGTGGACACTGTTATGGCCTCCTGCTGATGGTCTCCCTCATATGGATGATGTGCCTTTGTCCTATTCAAGACTTAATAAATGCTTCTCTATAAATAACATTTGACTCTTTACTCCCTCTGAACAGTGGGCGACTTGTTAGTTTTATAGCAGCCCAAGGAGACACCTGCCCCTGGAGCTACTGGGTACTCGGACCTACTTCGTCCCCTGCTAGGTTGTAAGAGTAGAGTGAAAACTCCTTCCTCCAGCTCCACAGCCTGTTGACCATACTAGACAGAGGCTAGGGCAATAGGTGAGGCTAGTTAAATTTCTGTTTGGAGGTGGATTACTGGGGCTTGAATCCACTTCCCTGCCACTTTCTGTGTGACTGCGGGAATACTTAACTATCATGTGTCATAGGCTCTTTCGCCAGAAAAAGAGAGAGAGAGAGGGAATAATTATATTTACTTTATGAGAGCTATAAGCTGAACAGATAATTTCAAAGGACAATTAAAAAAACAAAATATTATCATGAAATATGCAGAGGCCCAGAGTTAAAAGAAACCAAACAGGAAAAACACGCTCAGCATATCTTAAAGGAAAGAACTCAAGAAAAAATTCTAGCCTTCAGTCAGTTGCAATATTGAAAAATTCTACGGGAAAAATATTGAAGGATGCAGAAAGTATCAAAAGAAGATGGAAAGAATACAAACAATCACTGTACCAAAAATAACTAGCTGACATTCCACCATTTCTGGAGGTAGCATATGAGCAAAAATCAGTGATGCTGAAGGAAGAAGTTCAAGCTGCACTCAAAGCATTAGTCAAAATCAAGGTTCCAGAGGTTTATGGAATACCAATTGAAATGTTTCAACAAGCTGATAAAGAATGGAAAGCACACACTCATCTCTGCTAGGAAATTTGGAAGACAGCAACTTGGCCAACTGACTTGAAGAGACCCATATTTGTACACATTCCAATGAAAGGTGATCCAACAGGCTGCTCAAATTATAGAACAATACCATTGATATCACATGCAAATAAAATTTAGCTTGAGGTCATCCAGCAATGATTGCAGTAGTACATTGACAGGTGGCTGTCAGAGGTTCAGCCTGGATTCATAAGAGGATGGGAACAAAGTATTGCGTTGCTGATGCAAGACAGATCTTGGCTGAAAGCAGAGAATACAAGAAAGATGCTTACTTGTGGTTTAGTGACTTTGCTAAGACACTTGACTGTGTGGGTCATAAACTATGGCTAACACTTCCTTGGGCTCATATGGAAGTTGAATATGGATCAAGGTGCAGTTGTGTGAACAGAATAAGGGAATACTTTGCAAAAGAAACAACCACACAAAAAACACCTCACTGCCATCAAGTAAGTACTGACTCATAGTGGCTATATGGTTTAAAAATCAGGAAAGCTGTGTTTCAAGGTTGTATCCTCTCACCATATTTATTTATTTTGTATGCAGAGCAAATCATCAGAGATGCTGGATTATATGAAGAAGAATGTGGCATCAAGATTGGAGGAAAGCTTACCAACAACCTGTGATATGTAGATGACACAACCTTGCTTGCTAAAAGTGAGGAGGACCAGCAGTACTTGCTGATGAAGACCCAGGATTGCAGCCTTCATTATGGCTTACAATTCCATGTCAAGAAGACCAAAATCCTCACACCTGGACAAATGGGTGTTTATACATGGAGAAAAGATTGAAGTTGTTGAGGATTTCAGCTTGTTTGTATCACCAATCAATGCTCATGGAAGCAGCAGTGAGAAAAACCATAAGATGAGTTGCATTGGGTAAATCTGCA